TTTCTTTCTTTTTAAGACAGAGCCTCAAGCTGTCCCCCTGGGTAGAGTGCCGTGGCATAGCTCATAGCAACCTCCAACTCCTGGGCTCAAGCGAGTCTCCTGCCTCCGCCTCCCAAGTTGCTGGGACCACAGGCGCCCGCCACAACGCCTGGCTGTTTTTTTTTTCGGTTGCAGTCATCATTGTTGTTTGGCGGCCCGGGCTGGATTCGAACCCACCACCTTAGGTGTACATGGCTGGCGTCTTAGCCACTTGAGCCACAGGCGCCGAGCCACTCTCTTACTTTCAAAGAACAGCACTCCTGACTCGGGTTGCCCAGTCCCACTGCCGTGCGCAGGCCCCAGTGGTTGGCCATCTCCACGGTGCCAGGTGACCATTGGGGGTGGGTGGCCTGTGGCCCGGCATGCCAGGAGGGCGCTCTTCCCCAGCTCCACAGTGACATCCCGGGGCAGCTCCGTCAGCCGGGGCGCATCTGTGGGGAGGTGATAGGTCAGCCAGGTCCAGTGGCTGGACCCACTCAGTCCCAAGGACAGCCTCCTCTGTTCCCACTGCTGGGAGCTTTCCCTCACTCAGGCTTGCCCTGTGAACCTGGAGCTGACTCCTGCCAAGTCGTTGGCCAACCTGAGCTTAGTGGGGTGCTCCCTGGAGAGCTCTTGGGAAGACACAGAAAAAGCGGACTCCAGTGGGGTAGTGGCTGCTGACATGCCTCATACCCCTATGTGGGGTCTCAGGAGCTAGGCTGTACCCCAGCTGTGCAGAGGATATCCCCTAAAGCCTGCCTCTGAGTGACTGCAGGGAACCCTCTGGCCTTGGGAACAAGTGTGTCACTGAGTCTAATTGTGACCAGAACTCACACAGGGGTTGGGGTGGGCCTCTCTGTCTCAGCCTTCCCTCGCCCTCCTCCTGGGCTATGGAGGGCTTCCCCCTAGAGGTGGCCTGGACTCGCCTCTGACGGGCTTACCCCCCTGGCCTGGGTCATCCTCTGCATGGTGGGGGAGGAGGGGCTGGGTGGACATGGGCAACCATTTCCATGGCCCCCTCTGTGTGCACCACCCACAGGGCCAACTTCATGGGGGAATACAGGTCTTTGTCATCTCTCCCGGCGGGCTGAACTTTTTATAATACGCATATAAAACACCACCACTAAGTTAAAACTTGCTTATTACACACGTATAAATAACATGCCTTGTACTTTATAGTCCAAACTGGGACACTCTGGAGTGAAACGGGGGCAGTCTTAGAAAACACACCAGGACGGCGGCCTAAACCAGTACTGTCCCAGTCATCTGTGCTAGAAACACCTCAAATAACACAGAGAGTAGAAATTTTCCCAATTCTTTTCCACAGACCCCAAGTCCCACACCGTTCCCTGAGGTGAGCGCTGTGTGTCTTCACTGGGACCTTTTGGTAAAGTCTTGTCTTACTTAAACAGTGGGGGAGGGAGAATCAAGTTATTTCTCAAAATGGAAACTGCAGACCCTTCCTATCCCACCACCCTGAGCCAGTCCAGCCCCTGATGAGTCCAGGGCCTCCCTGCAGCCTCAGGGCACTGTCTCCCAGTCCCTGTCCCCAGGCCCATCCAGCAGGGAGGCACCCAGCATTTTTTTTTAACCCTTTGTGTCTGGCACCTGGAAAAGCCTCCACCTCTTTGTTCTTTCTGTCTCTCTCCAGAAATCTCCTTTATCCATGATGTCCAAATCATGACATCAGACTTCCCTCCTGGCCTTGGAGGTTAGGGAAGTTCCAGGGCAGTATAAACACAACTTGGAAGACAACTTCAAGGAGGAAGATGGTCTTGGACCCAACCTCAGGCACCACCCTTTCTCTGTGGGCCTGACAGCCACTGAAACGTAAAATCCCGAAAAGCCTTTGCTTGGGCTCACTCCTGACAGGGGCTCCTATAGAGCCCTGGCCCCAGGGGACAGTGTTGTCACCCAGCCCAAATGCAGGGCCAGGATTGAGGTCCTCTATTCTTCAAGGCCTCCCATCCCTCTTCCCCCCGGGCTGGTGCTTGGCCCTTTTGTTCCTTAGTCCAGCAGCCCCACTCGGGCTCCTGACTCTGGGTACTTCGAAGCCTATTGTCTTCCCCAGTCCCCTCCCAGTCCTGAACTGCCCACCTGAGAAGGGACAGCTCACTTATAATAACAGGACATTAACAGGCATAGAAGGTGGCATTTGGCATCCCAACTGAGTGACAGGTGTGATGACAAGAGCCCTTGGAACCATGATTTCACTAAATGTCTCAATAAACTCATGAAGTGGCTATTATCACAACCCCTTTTTTACAGACTGACATCCAACCTAGAAAAAAATTTTCTCCTTGAGGCCACAGCATTTCATAGGTTGAGATAGGTCAAGAGACATGTGAATTATATATGCTTCAGGAGACTCAAAACTAGTATGAGTTAAATATAACTCACATGCCAGTTAATGTGTTGAGGAACCTGCATGAGGTCACAGCTCAAAGTCAATGGCAGAGCTAGGGTCAGAGCCCAGGTCTGACCGATGCTAAAGCTCAACCACCTCACCCTGTGTCTCCCTAAGTGCTTGGGGATGACTTGGCAGCTCCCTTGGCAGAGCCTACCCACCTCGCCCATCTTCTTACGGCGGTAAATCCCCAAACCACAAAATCCCACACTCAGCTGCCTTGCCCTGGACCCACCCAGAAAACTGTGACTCAGTGGCCTGTGCAGCCATCACTCACCAACCTGAAGTCCATCAAATAAGGTGTGACCCCAGAGTCCTCATATGCCAGAGCTAAATGTTCCCTGGTCAGATATGAGCCTGAGCACCCAGGGGAGGCTGGACTCTCAGCCCAGAGGTACCAGGGGTACTCCCAGGATATCAAGGCTCCCAGCCTCCTCCTCACAGATCCCAGGAAACCCCCTGCCGTGACCCACACAGGGATGATGAGCTGGTTCATGACCACCTGAGCACCTCAAGCATAACCCTTTCTGCCTTGGTCATGGACAGGTCTCCAGTTTCTGAGGCAGGAACTGGAGGTGCCCAGAAGCAGGTAGATGTTGCCAGCAGCCACCAAGACTCCCTAGAGAGGCCTCTTGTCAGCTGACAGCTGCAGCTGCCTGTTTGTGGGGAGGCTGAGCAGCCTGGAATACCCAGAAAGGGAGAAGGAACCTGCTGGAAACTGCTGGCCACCAACCTGGGAAGGGTCCAGACAGTAGGGTCTGCTATACTCTATCCTAGCCTGTGGGCCTTCCGTGCAGCCTCTGCCCCTCCTGACTCACACATCCTGGTCCTCAACCATGCCCAGGGCAGTGCCACCACCCCATCTTCCTGCAGCCCACACCTCTCACTGAGCTCTCAACAGCTGTGTCCCTCTGCCCCTAGGCACCCTTAAAGTCCCCCAGCCTTCACCATCACACATCTTCCTCACCACTGCAATGGGGGTATAGTGCTGGGCTCTGCTTGGCGGTGACAGGGGCATCAACTCTTCCTCATCTTCCTCCCACCCTCTTCTCATCACAGCCCCCTGCCCCTACTGTGCTCCCTACTCCATGCAGTCATCCACCTACCCTCTCTGGAGCAGCAGAAAGGACTTCTCTGGGCATGGGCCATACCCCACTTAAACACTGTCTGTTACAGGCTGAACTATGTCCCCCAAATCCTTATATGGAAATCCTAAGCCCCAACAGGATGGCCTTGGGAACAGGGCCTTTGGGAGGGGTCTGAGGGTGGGGCCCCCACAGTGGATTAGTGCCCTAGTAAGAACAGACGCTGGACACAGCATGCTTCCTTCCTTCCTCTCTCCATGTGCAATGGAGAGGCCTTGTGAGGACATGTGAGAAGGCAGCTGGCCACTAGCCAGGAGGCCCCTCGGAATCGACCGCGCCAACACCCTGATCTCTGCCTTCCAGCCTCCGGAGCCATGAAGAATACATGTCTGTTGCTTCAGCTCCCAGGTCTGCAGTGTTTTGTTATGGCAACCAGAGCTGACCAGGTCACCATCCACGGGCCCCAAGGCCATCAGAGCAGAGTCCAGGGAAGACTTGGATGCCACCATGGCTGCTGCTTCCAGCCCCTGCTCCCCATGGGTCAGCTCACATGTACAGAAAACCCAGGTACAAGCCAGTCTGGCTCAGCAGCAGGATGTAAGCCCAGTGCCCACCAGTCCCAGCCTCTGACATCCTGGCCAGGAAGGCTGGACCACAGCTGCCACCCAGATGGGCAGGAAATTCCATTCCCCACCACCACTGCCAGGCTGGCTCACCCCAGACCCACAGGTGCTGGGCCATTCTCCATCCCTTCCCTGACCTAATGGCCAGAGGTCACCAGTGAGTGGCCCAGAAACTCTGCCTCTGGGGTGCCAGCCACCTCCTCCCTCTGACACAGGGAAATGGCTCCAAGGCCTACGGCAGACAGGCAAAGAATAAGATCAGGCAGGCATGTCAGTCTGAACCCCAAAGAAATAAGGCTTTGCTGAAAAGAAATCTGATGTGGAGCAGAGGAGGACAATGCCCATCACCCTGCCAGGTGCAGCTGCTCTGCTCACCCAGTGCCTCGGGCCTATAATAGTGATAGCAGCTTTCTCGAAGCCTACGTGCTGTGGCCTTTCTTACCTCTCACTGGCTCAACATCTCAGGGACATTTTGTCAATGAGGATCCTGCGGCTTAAAGAGGAGAAGTGACATTCAGACTTACCTGGATGCTAAGGTCAGGCTCATGGCCAGGGCTGAATGTATAGACCCGCGGTCAGTCGCCTGCTGTGTGACCTTGGGCAACCCTCGTACCCTCTCTGAGCTTCATTTCCCCATCTGTAAAGGGGATAGTGACAACCCCCCTCCCAGGGTCATAGTGAGGATCACATGAATTAGCATGGGAAGTGGCTTAGAGCTGGCCCTGACCCATGGAAAATGCCACAGACATGCTAGCTCAGGTCTTTATTGTTGTCATAACCAGGCTCTGCCCAAGCTTCCCACCACCACCACCATGCGTCTGCCTCCCAGCACAAGTCCGAACACCTCTTCAGCTCCTGGCCAGGAGTGACCAGTACCAGGAAACTGTCCCCACCTCCCTGCCTGCCTTCTCTTGCCACAGGGAGATTTGCACTTGCCAATTCCTTTGCCTGGAACACTGTTCACAAGCTCTTCCCCAATCAGATGCTTCTGGTGTTAGGTTAGACGTCACCTCCACCAAGAAGCCCTCCCGCCCCAGTGTCGGATTAGTCTCCTTCTCTGGGCAGCCATAGCCCCTGAGGACGCCCTGCACACGCTGCCTCTCATGCTGTTCTCTCTCCTTGACCCCCTGAGTAACATGAAGCAGATGCCCTGTCTCCTGTGCCATTGTGTCCCCAACACAGAGTCTGGCACAAAGTCACCTGGGGACCTTGTGTTGGAGGAAGGATGGAACAAAAAATCAAATGAAGACCAAGGAGCATCCTAAGCCTAGAAGCATCTCAACCCTGAGTCAGCTTTTCCTCCCAGAGCCAGACCCTCCTCACCAGGCCTGCTCCTGCCAGGGCCCGGCCCTCCTTGGGGAGCTCCTCAGCCACCCCTCCACCCCCTCCCAGCAGCCCCATTCAGCCCAGACAAGCACATTCTCAATTCACTGTGCTTCCCAGAACTCCCAGCACCTGTCTGTCCCACCATGGCCACAGCAAACACTCAGAGACTGATCTGTCCCAGCTCAGGGTGCCAAAGAGCTGTGCCCACGGCTTCTGAGCATGTCCCAGTGCCCGGAACCCAGGCCTGGAAATTAGACATCATGGAAATCACAGCCAAGCCATGCCTGGCCACAAAGGAATTCAGACTCCACATCTGTAAAGGGGCCAACCACCCCTCTGTTTACTAAGCATGGGCCCAACCCTGGACTGAGCATCTCACGCCTGATTTCACTGAATCACCATAGTAACCCAAGGAGGGGAGTGGTCTGGTCAGCCCCACTTTACAGATGAGAAAACTGAGCTTCAGGACTTGACCAAAGCACACAGGTGTGTGTGACAGGTCAAGACTGAACTCAGGCCTCAGCTATGAGAGGTCTCACCCTCAGGTTGGACCAAACTGCCTCTGTGGTGTGCAGCCTCCGAGATGGCCCCAGTGACTGCTGCCTCCTGCGAAGCACTCCCTGTGCAGCCCTTCCCACCCACATTGCCCAGGGTTGGTCTGTGTGACAAGGGGAATATGGCAGAAGCGATGGAATGCTCCTTCCAAGACTGCCTGGTCAGAACAGACAGCAGCTTCTGTCTGGGATTCTCTTTCTCTCTCGGAAGCCTGTCATGAGAAGCCTTCTGGAGAAGCCCACATAGTTGGGAACGGATGCTCCCATCAACAGCTGTGAGTGGGCCTGCAGCAGATGCCCTGGCCCCCTCCAACCTTGAGCTGACGGCAGCCCCAACCAACATCCTGACTGCAATCTCATGACCCCAGGCCAGCATCACTCTACCAAACTGTTCCTGGATGCCTGACCCTCACTCATACTTATTGTTTAAGCCACTGAGTTTGGGAGCAATTTGTTACCCAGCAAGAGATGACATACACACTGCCCCCCCAACATCCCTTGTCCCCATGTGCCCCGGATCTGCATGACCAAATCTACAGCAGTGGTCTGTGTTGGAGAGCTTCTCGTTCCCACATAGAGGCAGGGCCGAAGGCTGGGAGGGAGACAGATACACACTCACATCCAACTGCCAGCCGGATTTCTGCAGAGGCGTCACCCAACTCATTGACAGCTCGGCAGGTATAGACGCCAGCATCTCTTTCCTGGACCGCTGGGATCCGCAGTGTCCCAGAGCTAGAGCTCTCAGGAGGCAGAATCATCTCAAGACCCCCTGGACCAGAGATGAAAAAGCATCAGGCCAGTGCCCTTGGTCCCCCCAAGGAAGGTGGGCAGAGGCAGGTTCCTCCCAAAGTCAGAATCCCTGTGTCCAGCCCTGCAAGGAAGCCCTCAGTCTTCCCTGAGCTCCTCTGTTGACCAGGATTGGGGCTCAGCCAGCCCCCCAACACAAGAAGCTCATACCCCAAGAGCCCCACACCTGGGCTTCCCTCCTGGTGGCCCATCCCCCTGCCTCCGATCCAGCCTGGGAGGTACCAGGAGTTCTGGGGTGACCATACCACACCCATGGCTGCCTCTCTGAGGCCTGCCCTGAGCACCCCTCATTTTCTCTACCTGCTATCTCCCCCAGACTCCTATGACCTAATAGACTCCCAATTCTGATCCTCCCTTTTAAATTAAATTTTCTTAATCCTTTTTTTTTTTTGAGACAGAGTCTTGCTTTGTCACCCAGGCTAAAGCACAGTGGCATCATCATAGCTTACCAGAACCTCCACCACTTGGGTTCAAGTGATCCTCCTGCCTCAACCTCCTGAGTAGCTGGGACTACAGGTGTGAGCCACCACACCCAGCTAATTTTCCTTCCTTCCTTCCTTCCTCTCTTCCTTTTTGTGGAGATAGAATCTTGCTCTTTCTCAGGCTGGAATTTTTCTTTTCTTCATTGTGGTAAAATATACATAACATAAAATTTACCACCTTAACCACTCCTTAGTGTTCAGGTCAGTGGCACTAAGCACATTCACAGGTTGTGCGACCATCTCCAGACGGTTTCCATCCCCCCAACTGAAACCTCACCTGTGCAATGCCAACTCCCACCCCTCCTCCCCCAGCCGCCACCAGTCTTCTTTCTGTCTCTATGAAGGGTCTGCTCCAGCCCCTTGGACAAGGAGAACCAGATACAATGTCTGTCGTTTGGTGTCTAGCTTATTTCCCTGATCACATTGTCCTCTAGTCCACCTGTGCTGTCGCCTGTGTCAAAGTCTCCTTCCTTCTTAATGTTTTATGTTCAGACCCCTTTTAAAAGGAGATCTGGGGCTGGTTTGATGGGCTCTTGGCCAGAGCAGGCAGTGTCACAACAGGCAGTGTCACAAATGCTGAGTAAGGAGCCTGGAAGCCTCTGCCACCCACTAACTGGTGGCCCTGGACAAAATGCTCAAACTCTGAGCTAATACCACCACAACCCCTGCCTGCCTCAAAGTCAGAGTGAGGCCCTGATGAGATCTCAGATGGGGCCTGTGGGGGGAGTGGGAGCGGGCATTCTCCGTGACTCTGGCTGATACTTGAGAGGGAGTTCAGTCTTCTGCTCTGAGAGAGACTAAGGCAGCAGCCCTTGGACTCTGCCAACCAGACCCCAGGGCAGCCTCAGGCCACGTGAAAACACCCCACGCTGCTTACTGCAGACAGTCCTGTTCCTACTACACCCACATTCCAGATGATCACATTGCCGTCACCACTGTCACCAAGAGCACTGAGCTCAGCCCACCTGCCAGGCTGTTCTAAAACTTTTCCATATGTGGACCCACTCAATCCTCACACAACCAACCTGTTTTTGATTTTTACCCCCATTTTTCAGATAAGGAAACTGAGGCTCCAACATGCCCAAGGTCACTGATGGCAGCTGGAATTCAAGTCTGGGCCTGACTCATTCTTGCTGAGAACACCCACCTTGGCTATGTCGACACTGTCTGGGGTGAGGGTGGGGTTTGCTAGAACCAGCCAGGGCTCCCCGGACACCCCCATCAGTGCACCCCTGGCCCCGCATTCTTTCTGGAAAGCTGTTCTTCTGGGTCCCAGGAGGACAGTTCCCCAGGCACCTCTCTGCACCCAACATACCTCGATACCAGACGATCCTGGGCGGGGGGACCCCAGCTGCCCCACACACCAGCTCAGCCTCCTCCCCAACGGCAGCGAGCACCACGGCGTTTACCGCAGAGACCGACGGGGGGTCTGCAGGGGAATGAGACAGGGACTTTGGGAGCAACCTTCAGAGGCCCTAGAGCTCCTGCTCGCCCCACATACACCCCCTTGCAGCCCTAGAGCATCCTGGCCTGACTCTGCCTCAGGGCTCTTGCTCCCCACTTTCCCACACCCACACAGGGGACTAGAGCAATCCAGACTGGCTGAGTCCTGGGCGGGACAGCCCTTCCCCCTGGCCCTGTTGGCACATCAGCCCCTCCCCCATCCTCCTCTCTGATATCTCTCTGTATCGTGCCTCCTTGTAGAATATAGCTCCACCCAGGAGGGGTCCGTGTGTCCACTGCTGGATCCCCAGTGCCTGGGACATCATAGATGTTCAATAAACATCCATGGACAGAAGAGAAGGGGGCCCATCCTGCGATGCATGGGGCCTGAGTACCTGTGTAATAGAGGGTGACCATCTCCTGGTCTGTGCCGACCTCGTTAGTAGCCTGGCAGCTATAATTTCCAGCATCCTCTGGGGCCACCCCTTGAATAACCAGAGTTCCCTGGGCATCCACACGGATTCTGGAGATGTGCCATAAAAACATGCTCAGTCACACAGGGATTGTCCATAATGAATAACAAATTAACAACATTAATAGTGATCACCATTCTATGCTGCCTGCTTTGGGACCGCTGGGTGCTAAGTACTTTACAAACATTGTCTTTCTTAATTCATGAGGCTCAGAGAGGTAAGATGATTTGCCCAAAGTCACATGGCCTAAATGGTGGGGGCAGAATTCGAGCACAGGTCTGTGGACTCTGGAGTTCAAACTCCTGACCACCAAGCCCATATTGTGACCTGGCTTGAGCCTCCAATGACTCTAGGAGGCTGCTAGACAAATACTGCTCCCCCATGTATAGGTAAGAAGACCAAGGCCCAGAGAGGTCCCTGGGAGTCCCTATCCTCCTGCTGCCACTCCCAGAGCTCTGTGTTCTGGGCCCTTCACCTGCTGTCCTCTTGCAGGGCATGGCCATCACGGTTCCAGGAGATGTGAGGCGTGGGGTACCCAGAGGCCGAGCAGCTGACCTTCACCTCCACGCCCTGGGAGAAGCGCTGGGACCTGGTGTGGATTCTGACCTGTGGAGCCTCTGTGGACCAAAGAGCAGATAGGCAGAGGCAGGCCCATCAGAGCAGCTGTGCCATCCCAGGTACCCAGCCCAGGGCCCCTCCTCTCCCACAGCCACAGATGGGCAAGACAGAGGAAGCAAATATCCCAAAGGCCTGACCTCTACAGTGGCCCCCGGGAACTGGGGTAGACCAGGCAGCCACCCAAGCACATGCTCAGGCTGATTTCCTAGCACCTGAGCCTGGAGCCTTATGACTCGTGGAGCCCTGAGCACCCTTGGAGCCTCAGGGAGATGTCAGGTAGCTGCCAGGCTGGGGACAGCTCTTGTCTCTAGTGGCTTAGAGACGGACTCCAAAGCCTGCCCAATTACTGGCCCAAACTTAGGCCCCATCCTGGCCCTCTGGAAGCTCACGTCAGCTCACCCAGAAACAACAAACTCAACCTTCCCACCCCCAGCAGCCGTTAGCTAGTGGGCTTCCTTCCTGCAGAGGCTCAGAATCCTGTTCAACACACTGCAGGCAGCCACTCGAGTGTCCCCAGACAGAGAGAACACTTGTTCAAGGCAATCATTCTTCTGCTTAGGGAAAGAGCACCCCAGGGGGAAGCTCTGTCTGAGTCTGGGTAGCTCCGAGGCCACGCCCAGATCTCTAAACACCCAGACAGGTGCTCTCTCTACCATTCCTCTGCGTATCTGGTACATGCTGCCCATCTGTGCTAGCACATCTGAGCTCTGAGCTTCCACAAGTTTCAGGTATTCTGTCCCTGCCCAACATATTGGGCAGGAAAGGGTGTGAGAGGAGGGAGTCAACAGAGGTACTCAATGCCAGGGGAAAAGAATTAGACACAGTGAAACTGGCTTGGCCTATAGCAGTAGAAATTTAAGTTAGGTACTAAGATGAACTTCCAACAGTGAGAACCACTAGACTGACTAGGGGGTTACAGAATCTGTGCTCCTAGAAGGGTCAGGACACAGTAAAAGAGCTGACGTTTGCCAGAGACAATGTCTGAGCAGGGGGATAGACCAATGAGCTTCCAGGATAAGGGCTGGGTAGTACACTGAATTTACAGGGACATTAGGGGCCAGAAAAGCCTCACCTCGCACCAGGAGCCACACGGATGCCCTTGAGACCCCATTGGCATTGCTGGCCACGCACTGGTACCGCCCGCCATCACTAGGGATGACAGCACTGACCTCCAGGGACAGGTCAGCTAGCTGGGTGATTCGGCCCATCGAGGCTGGCAGGACTCGCCAGTCCCGGACCCATGTCAAGTTGTAGGGGCCCTCGCCGAGGACCTGGCAGGATAGAACGGCAGTCTCCCCAGGGGACACAGTCACATTGGTAGCAGGGATCAGCCGTGGTGGAGGGTCTGCAGGGGCAAAAGCATAGGAAAGACTAAGGGGTCGAGGCAGGGGAGGGAGCCATCTTGCAGGCCCTGGTGGTGTCCAGACCCTGGGACCCTGCCCTAGCCCTGGCCCTGAGGCTCAGGTCAGCCTGCAGCATATCACTCAGGACACCCCAGCCAGCAGCACCAGTAACCAGCATCTGCTCACCATCCCGGCACAGTGCTGCCCAGGAACAGGGGGCTCACTTCCCCCACAGCCATCACACACCCCCTGAGGGCTGCATGGCAGGTGCCCACTTTCCAAACAACAGCCAAGTGCAACATGCAAAGAGCCCTGCCACTCTTCACATCCTGGGAGCCAGTGATTCCACCCTGGGGGGTAGAGCCTCGGAGATCACCAGCACTGGGGAGAAAGTAACGCATTCTCTGTGCCAACAGCAGGGCTGTGTGTGACAGCCAAAATATGCCCCACAGGAGGGAAGTGCTAAGAAAACTGCTGTCTGGATAGCAAAAAGCCACAAGAAGTGACAAGATCAGAGACTGGCTTACACAGAAGAAGCTGTGTAAGTAAATCAAAATGGCATAATGCAGGGATTACGCATTCGTTTGCTCTTTTTTTCACTTGTTTATATTACTCTAGTCTTCCTATAAGGAACCTATGTTATTTTTTGTAATCAAATGTAGAGTCTCTGGTCCATGCACACTGGGTTCCTTTTCCTCTCTACAAAAGAGCTTAGGTTTGTAATGTTAAAAATAAAGCCAATTTCATTTCAAGATTGTCTCTGGCATTTCCAATCTTCCCCAGCTCGATAGTGCCATCCTGGCAGGGACCTGGAGGCATTAAGGGATCAGAACTACCAGATGGACAGTGGCCCCTGTACGGGCCTGGGGTTCTGGCCAAACTCTAAGAAGCAGGACAGGTGTGACCTGAGCCAGGGTCCTCAACCTTCCTCCAGCTGAGATGCATAGGCCATTCTGAATGAGACAGCCCTAGATGGGACAAGCAGCAGGTGTCAGTGCGGCCAGCCTCTGGCTGATGGATGGTCCCCGGCAGCTGGCTGGCTGGTGTGCAACCCACGATGGAGCAGGCTGGGAGGAGACCTCAGAGGGAAGAGGCAGGAACGGGGGTGGTATGTGGAGGGGCAGCAAGGGACAGACCTGTGACGATAACCTGGGCCTTCGCTCGTCCAGTACCAGCCCTGCTGACTGCCACGCACTCATACGTGCCTTCCTCGGCCTTAGAGGCCCGGGGGATCTCCCAGCTGCTATTTCCTGACCCCCTGCAAAGAAAGAACAGCAGGAGACACAATCACACTGACCCCAGTCAGGATCCGCCCAGCCTCATCTGGCTCTCAGAGGCCTCTGTCCCCTGAATCCTGCCCAGAGGGAGACTACAAATCTTCTGTGGGACCTGACAAGGAGCAGCCAGATGCATGTCCCAGCCCTCTAAGTGCTGGACTCCTATCCCTACAGGTAGGGCCTCAGCAGGTCCCACCTACCCTGACCTTCCTGGAGCTGGGCCCTACAGGAGTTGAGTTTTCTAGGAGCTGAGGAAGGCCCATGAATCCTTCCTGGACCCAACACTGGGGATAGCTCGGGGACCCACTCTCCCTCATCCCTGGCTGCCTGGAGGTCCCTGGACTAGGCTGCCCAGGAGAGACCAAGAGCTCTCTCCTGCCACCCACTCCCCTGAGGTCCCTCCAGTCATCAGCATCCCTGGAGCCCTGTGGCTGGGGACAACTGGCTAGCCATCGGCCACTCACTGAAAGTGCCTCTCCTCGCCCAGCTGGGCTCTACTCCGCAGCAGCTGCAGGCGGAAGGGGAGGGCGCTGTGCACGGAGCAGGTCAGCAGCAGGGGCTGGCGCAAGTAGCCATGGATCCTGGGTGGCATGCTGACCAGGGGGGCGCCTGTGGGCAAGGACCAGCATTCAGAATTCCTCCCCACTGCCCCCTGCAGCCTGCTCTCACTACACCGGGTGACACAGAGCCCCACAGGGATAGGATAAGCCAGGGGCCAGAAGACTGGAAGTCAATCACTGGCTCCACCGCGCAGTGGCCACCGAGAGCAAATCGCTTTACCTCTCTAAGCCCCAGTTTCCACCTCTGCACAGTGGATGGGCATGGTGCTATCCCTGTCATGTTGTTTTGTTTTGGTATTGTTTTTTATTTTCCTATTTTTTTTTTCTTTTTTTGAGACAGGGTATTGCTCTATCACCCAGCCTGGAGCCCAGCAGTATCATCATAGCTCACCATATCCTCTAATTCCTGAGCAAGCTCCTACCTTAGCTTCCTGACTAGCTGGAACTACAGGCACCCACCACCACACCTGGCTAATTTTTTCTATTTCTTATAGAGACAGGGTCTTGCTATGTTGTCCAGGCTGGTCTCAAACATCTGACCTCAAGTGATCTTTCCTCCTCAGCATCCCAAAGTGCTGGGACTGGGATTACAGGCGTGAGCCACCACACCTGCCACATGACGCCGTGTTGTTTTGAGGAACTGGTAAGTGGTGCTGTGTGCAAAGCATATGGCATCATAAGCTCTGTCCAGTGTAGCTCATGGGGCTTTTGTGGTTTACGAGGACATTTGACTCAAGACAGATCAGCATGGACCAGCCCCTTGACACTGAATCAGCACTGTCTTGAGTGTCTGGAAGCGGTTCTGAAATCCGATCTAATGCTCCCCATATAGGGACCAGTGGTACAGGGGTGTGAGTGGGCTTGTGCAGCTGCTCCTCTGCCTGGAGGTGAGTTGCATCCACACTTGTTGGAGGGAAGCCTTTTCATTTAAAAATAAGCATAGCTGAAGCATGGCTGTGAATGCAAAATTCACACGCATTTTTGAGATAGAATAAGAGGCTTCAGTGAAATCTCACAGTTTATTAAGCCCCATGGGCCCCTCACCAGACAGCACTGGCCCCCTCCCTGGCCTGCCCCTGGTCTTGAGATGACACATTTTCCCCTTGGATATTGCAACTATTTCAGTAAAGTCTAAGGAACCCCTTCAGGGTCAGCAGTGACTCCACAGACCTGGGGGATCCCCAGCATAAATGCAACCTTTGTGCTGCCCTCTCCCCATACTAGGGCAGAGAGGATCCAGCAGAGATGCTCCAGGGGTGAGACAATGCACCAGACCTCCCCAGAGCGCAGAGCTGGGGGCGGGGAAGTGGCGGGTGACATCATGCTCCAGGCTGCCTGCCACGTCTCATCCCCTGGGAGAGGGGTGTCAGACCATCCAGTCATATCCTCAGCTGTGTGCAAAGCAGCCACTGCTCACCCACACACTGGGGGCCTCTGCCAGGCCAGCTCAGGCTCCCCTTTCCATGAGCCAAGAGGGCCCGGGGCCCCCAGGCCCATTCCCGTCTCTCCAAACCCCGAGCCACCTGCTCCAAGGCAAATTCCCAGCTTCCCAGACGTGGAAAGCAGAAGAGCAAGCAGAAACCCCAACCACACCCTCCCCTCACTTCCATCTAGAGCTGGAGGGAGACCAAAAGCCAGAGCTAAAGGCAAACTCTTGAATGCATCTGAAAGAACAGGGGAAAGAAAACAGAGGCTGTTACTCCCCCTGATGAAATTCCTTCCTGAAAGTTCCTCCTCAAAGCTGTAAAGGCCAAGGGAAGAGACGGTCAAGTACCATACTGGGGGGGGGGGCAGCTAGAAGGCTGGAAAGAAGAGGTCCCAGCTCCCTGACCCACCCCACCCAGACCCTCCTAGGCCTCTGCCCCACCATGCCACCTACTGTGGCCAGCCTCAGGAGCCTCCCCCCCTCCCCTCTCTGCATCCTTGTTTAAAGTAGAAGAGGAGGCTGCCTTTCCCAGAAACCCCCACAAAAAAGAGCTGGAATGTCAGTGACATCTACCTCTGTGAGCTCCTCCCAGGCCACCTCCAGGGGAAGGGGGTGGTGGGCAGGAGGAAATCAGCAAAGCCTAGTGGGGAGGTTGGGTGGCCAGTGAGCCCAGACACCCTGCTAGGACCAGAGACAGACCTGGACAGCTAGTGGCTTCACCCTGCCCTCTGGGAGCTTCCAACCCAAATGGTGAGACTGAAGAGACACACCAGAAGCCAGCAAAAAGCCACACGCATGGGACCCAACAACACAGCACGACTGAAGATGGGATGACAGATGACCTGACCCTACTCAGTGCTTACAGTAATAGCAGCTGCCTCATGGAAGGCCCTCGGCTGCACCCCCATGCCCTGCGCATGGCCTCTGAGCACCACTGAGCTTAGGGAGCCCTCAGAGTTGCCCTGTGAGATGGATGGTCTCAGGTTCCTCATCTGCGGGGACATACCTCACAACTGCTACAAGCATCAGTGGCCTGCCGCAGGGAAAGAAGTGCCCTCAGTGGTGACTGGGATGATTAGGATGATTGAAGAGCAGATACCATGTCTGCCCTGCCTACTGCTGTGTCTACAGCACTGTGACTGATGCAGAGAAGATGCTAAAATGAATTCCAGGTGGCTGGACAGATGCACGGGTACATGGATGGATGATGGATAGATGGATAGACAAATGGATAGACAGATTGCTGGACAGATGCATGGATAGATAGACTGATAGATGGATAGATAGATGGCTGGACAGATGTACAGATAGATGGATGGATGGACAGATAGATGGATGGACAGATGGATAGATTGCTGGACAGATATATGGATAGATGGATGGACAATGAATAGATGGATAGATGGATGGTAGATAGTGGATGGTGGGTGGATGGATGGATGGGGTGTGGATGGATGGGTGGATGACTTTGTTCTAAATCCTATGCTGAGGGCCACATCTCAAACGTCTCAGTATTTACTGTCATGCCTTACAGAGAATGGCTGTCCTTAGAAGCTTAAGGAACAAACATTTCCTAATCTGATCTAGTCAGGGAGAGCTTCCAGGAAGAAATGGGACTCTGAGTGAGCTGGGGAGCTGGGGGACAAAAGAGCCACCCACTCACCTGGGGGCACCCCACTGTAGGAAACTCCAGACATGCGGAGGAGAGTGTGTCCCTCGTGGTCCTTGCCCTTCACCTTGAGATAGAAGCGCTCTTGCGGGGCGTGGAAGGGCAAACCGCCCCACAGCTGGTAGCTGGATCCATTGGAGAGGGGTCGCATGGGCAGAGTCAGGAGGGGCTGCCCTGAGCTACGTGTGAGCTCTACTGAGTCAAGACGGCCAGGTGCCTGCAGGCCTGTGGAGTTGATCACCAGGGAGATGGGGACCCCTACAGAAGGGAGGGGGAGGAACAAGGTGCTGTCATCAGTACTGGGGTCCACAATCCTCCTCAAGCAAGGTCCTGGGACTGCACCCCAGGGGACCAGCCTGTGCCAGCCTCCTTACCTACCCCTCCTTCTCCACCAACCCTTTAGCCAACTCATGCCAGGGTAGGAGCAGTCAGAAAAGTGGCCCTGCTACTGTCCGTGGTCCTGAAACACCCATCCCTGGCTTCCTGGTGGCCGCATCACCTGCAAACTTGTGGAGTGGAACTAGGAAGGGGCTGTCTCTCCACCCCGCAGAAGTGACTCTGCATCCACTGCTGTCACACGGGTCTCAGGGCGTGGCTTCTTGTGGGGCAAGCACCCTGGTCCGGGATTCTGACTCCCACCTGGCCTTTCCCCACACTCAGCTTTTCTCCACTTTCTTTTCTGTCTTGATGAAAATGTGGTACTATCCCAAGAAAGGTTGAACTGGACTCAGTTTCAGAATCCCTTTAGTTGATTTGGGGACATTAATCAGATCTCTCCCTTTTTGGACAACTATAATTTTTTTCTCTCTTGGGGACTAGAAACTGGGGGCCTGTGGATGTGGTCAATGGGGTCCATGAAATGTCTTAAAATTCTTGAAGAGACATTAAACAATTAGGAAAGGGCATATAAAGAGCTAGAAGTCCATATTCCTTTGGGAAATCAATTGAGTCAGTGCTGGGCCCCACTCCCATGCTGGAACAATCACCTTGGAACAACAGAGTGTCACAGCTGCTCCCCATGTCCCAAGCTTCCACTATCTACTTAGCCACAGCTTCCCCCATTCCCTGGTGTGGCCAATTCCAAGGCCAATGGCTAATCATGATCATCTGCATTATTTCTCTTTTTTAAAAAATATGTCTTGGACCCACATCTTTATCAAAAGCGGAAACATAACAGGGTCCTTGCAGCCTCCTGCACACACTTCTCCTGGGGACAGGCCCTGGGGTCAGGTCGGCCTGTAATCCCCATTCTGGCCATGCCTTTAGGACTTCTTTCCCTCCTGGCTATATGTCAGGACCCAGGTTTCCTTGCCTTTCCCTGCTGCTATTGACAAAGCAACCCCCAAACAGCAAACCACCCCTTTTCACTGTAAAGATCTGACTGCAACTCCTGGCAGGAAAATCAACCATGGTTGACAAGAATAACAAGCATTAGAGAAGATACAGACTCAGAAGACAACCTTAAGCATCTGGCTTGTGCCACTTTTGGTCACTATTCAGTGGTCTGGACTCAGCCTGACCTAGTCTAGGCCCCTCCCTGTCTCTCTTCTGAGCTGATCCCAGCAAAATCCTCCAAATGGCCCTATGGCGGGCACCATATTCCCAGACCTTAAATTGAGACCCTTGATCGACACTGGATAGTATTTCTGTCATGGAGCTGAGACAGCTGGCACCCCCTGCCTGCCTGGAGCCCAGGTTTCTCCAGGAAGAACCGTGAGGGGGATGCAGGTACGTTTTAGTGGCTTCCAATCAGGAAACTGACCCAGTGCCTCCAACTTCAATGTCCCTCTAGGCTATACAACTCCCATCAGCCCCGGGGGCACTCAAATGTCCCCCAGCACATTTGTTCCTTCAAGGTAAGGCACTGTTCCCCTTTTTGGTAAGCCAGGGCCCACTAGCACCTGTCCATTCATTGAACTGGTCTGATGCCCGCTGGAAGACTGGAGAAGTGGGACCCAAGACACTTAGGTTTTGATAAGAAGAAAGGAAGATGTGCACTCAGTAGCGAAGGAGCCAGCTTAAGTGCTCATCTACCCACAAACGGATTAATAAACTGTGGTATACCAGTTTACCACGAATGTATACCACGAATACTATTCAGCCATTAAAAAAAGATGGAGACTTTACGACTTTTGTATTAACCTGGACAGAATTGGAGAACAGTCTCTTTAGTAAAGTATCACAAGAACAGAAAAGCAAGTATCCAATGTACTCAATGCTAATATGAAGCCAGGAGATGAACTAATACACGCCCACACAGGAGAAAAACGCCATCTAATAAAAGTTGTGGGGGAGGGGAGAGGGAAGGAGGAAGGGGGATTCGAGTGCTCTTATCCATGAGCACAGTGTAAGGGTGTGTGGCACACCACTACCACAGGGACCCCACTAACAAATGCAGACACCGTAACCTAGTCATATGTACCCTCACATTTATCTCAATTAATTTTTCTCTTAAAAAGGGGACAGCTTAAGGGTCCTGGGGGCCTTTGGGGGTTGGGAGAATAGTCTACAGGTAAACATCACAGCGTCATCTGGGCTGGGGTTGGAGGAGAGGACGCTGCCTGGGAGCTCAGTTGTGGTCTCGACTCTCCTTCTGTAGTCACACTCAGCCAAGCCTGCCCCCAGGCCTCCCCCTCTTCCCAAAGCCAGACCCCTTCTCTTTGGAGGGGGCTCAGTGCCACCTTCAGGGGCAGGAGACTGTACCTTGCAAGGGCCACTCGATGGTGTGGTTGAGGTCCAGAGAGGGCTGTGTGGAGAAGCCGGCCCGGAAGTCGATGTTGCTCACACCTGTGATTCGCACTGAATGGCGGCCGCTGCTGTAGACCTAGCCCAGGGCCAGGCCCCATGTCACCAGAGCGTCAGCGCCCAGCACCCCAGCCCCAGGGCAGGGGGCAACTGACCTGACATGGCCCAAGTCAACAGCTGAAATTCTCCCATCTTTGCAAGTACATAGGCGATTTACTTTTCCCTGGGGACCCAGCACAGTGCTCCCCAAATGGAGTGGCCAGCTCACAGCCCAGCCTGAGTGGGACTCTCAAGGCTGCCCTGCCTTCAGCTCTCTCCACACCCGCAGCCCTGTGTGTCCCCCCGCATGTCTACTCCCTGCCCTGCCTTCAGCTCTCCCCACACCCGCAGCCCTGTGTGTCCCCCCGCATGTCTACTCCCTGCCCTGCCTTCAGCTCTTGGCTCAAAGATGCTCAGATTTGAAAGGCAGGTGGTTGGTGCTGCCACTTCACTGCAACACCCAGCCTGGCACCTGACACCAAGCAGGCGCTCAACAAATGCTGCCTGATCAGTAGGTGCTCCCGCCCTTCCAAGGCACATCCCAGGGCACTCGGCCAGGGACTGAGCCTGCCCTCACCCCTGGTCCCCAGCACCTTGTAGACGGCAGCAGGCCCCGCTGAGCCATACCCCCAATGTCCCCTTGCTTCTTTTACACATTCTTCACAGGACAGGGTTCTGAGCCAATGAACACTGAAGTACTTTCTTCAAGCCTTTATTAAATGTTCCCAAACTAACCCAAACACTCTACGTCTTCCCCAGGTGCAAGGCAGAACACCCCTCCTTTGCTCTTGACCCCTTACTCCTATTGATATGCCCTCATGAGCACCCCTGAGTCCTCCCAAGGCCCAGGCTCCCCAGGAGGGAGATTGCTCCACCTCGGTGAAGCTGGTCTCCCCTCCCCTTACAACCCAGCATCCCCTACCTTGATGGACCACAGCCCAGGATGCTCAGGCTTAAAGGCCACGACCTTGGCCGAGTCAGGGATGTTGAGGAGCACGTTGAGGCCCTCATCCTTCTGCAAGATCCTCCCTGTGGAGGCCCAAGGATTGCTCAGTACCTGACCCTTCTTAGGGGTGACAGGCCCCACTTGTCCCCAGGAACCCACAGCCCACCAAACGCTAGCCACAGACTTCCCAGAACTGACAAGAGGGCAGGCCCTTGAGGTCCTCAGGCTCATCTCATTCTGCACCCACCCCCAGGTGCAGGCTGTGCCCCTGGCCTCTAGACTGGGGTGTTCGTGATGTCCTCAAAGCATCCAGGGACCAGGTGACCACATCCTGGTTGCACTGACCCTGCCTGCCTGTTTTCCTTGATGAGTTCTCCCCCACTGAGCCCCAGCTCCCACCTGGCCAAGGTGTGTGAGTCCCTGCCACCATGAGACTGCACTGACTAATATGGGGGTGCTCAGTGAGAGCCTCACATTCTAGGGGCTATTTCAATGCCTCTTGCTTGGAAGCTACCAGCCTTCCTACTTCCTCACCCTCATGGGCACCTTCTCTGCTCCTCACTTGGTGCCCCCAACTTTCTTCTTCCTGGAACCGTGTGTCTTCACTCACGTCCTGCCCCCCAGTCTCCTCCTCTGTCCCTTCCTGGGCTTCCAGCTCAGTCTCACACATACCCAGGGGGTCTCGAACTTCGATCTCAGGCCCTGGTCCACTCAATGAGATGGTGACCTCCTTCAGGCTGGGGTCGAAGGGGAGTCTCCACGTGTGCTCGCCCTCCTCCTCGTGGTCCGTGGACAGCAGGTGCACCTTGGTGGCCTGGATAGCTGACTCCACCCACTTCAGCACCTGGAAGGTGAGTGTGAGCCGCTGATCCCAGCAGGTGCCCAGAATGTCTTGCTCATGTATGGTCACCTAAGGCTGGTCCCCACCTGGGGACCATGTGCAGAATCTGCCCACCCTCCATGGGATTTAGGCAGCATACAAAATTCCCAGGTCATCCAAGGCCACCCCACTCCCTACTGCCCTACACCAGACCCGGTTCATGCATTGTCACCCTCCTGGCTTTTATGGCCTCTGAGTTGTGACACCTGAATTGAGAGAAAGGGCAAGAGCATGCCTCTCTGCCAGGAAGACTCTCCTCCTTCTCCACCTGCCAGCTTCTACAGCACCATCACCTCCTCCAGGAAGCCCTCCTGGTACCCCACACACAGATGAACCTGGAGATCTGGACTCTCCCCAGACCCACATAGTCCACTGTGTGCCCACCAGGGTGCTGTGTTCCCCCAGCAGGACTGAAAGGAGCTGCAAAGCCTTCAAGTCTCTTCCTGATCCACGGAAGTGAGGACTTAGTGGACTGACTTTTCCCAGGGTTAAGAAATCTTAAACCCCTGGTTTCTATAACTGTTTATTCACTCTAAAATCTCACGTGTTGGATAAATCCTGCTGAGAATCAGGTTGAAGGTCCCCTGGCCCAAGATACCATAATACCCCTCAGGTACATGTTTGGGGTATGAATTTAGTCAAACTCCCTCAAAGACACCCACCCATGAGCGCAAGGACCCCGTGTTAACAGCCCTTGATATAGTCTAAAATGGTGGCTCATGGGGCACAGAATTAGTTTCCACAAATTGTTACCATGGCTTTCAAGGCACCTGTCCAAGCTGACCCCGGGTCACCATGCCACTGACTCTGCCTAAGCCTGCAATGCTGCCTCCCAAGCCTTGCTCAGGCAGCCCTGCCCCCACACAGGTCATTCTCCTTGCAGGAACCCCTCCCTGCTCATTCTCCACCTGTGGGCATGAAGATGCCTCCCCAGTCCTGAACTAGCTCTGTTCCTTGGCACACACTACTTTGCAGCACTTTGTACCCCGTTTACTCACACTCCCTGGTTCTAAGCCTCTCTGCCCTGCCTGGGAGCTCCATGCTGTGTGCACGCATGTTTCAGCCCTGGGCTCACTGGCTGGCACAGTGAGGGCTCTCGGGAGCTGCGCAGTGACTGTGTGACACATGGGACACATGCGTCCTGTGCAGGGCCGTCAGGACGTCCCCCCCCTCCATCTCCCACAATCCCTCCCCTCCCCAGTTCACACTTCCTCCTTAGCAAGGAAGTCAGAGAACGAGGGGAGGAGAGGCCCCTCAAGTCTGCACCTTCTTTTTCCAGACCAAGTTACCTCCCAGAGTGTCATATACTACGCGCCCAGAGAGCCCAACTACACCTGGTGCCAGAACCACAGAGAGAAAAGAACAGCTCCAAGTGAGTTCAGAACCCAGTGGTGCAACAACAAAAAGAACCACAGAGAACATCTTTACCAGCAGTTCTCAACCTTCCTAATGCTGCGGCCCTTTAATACAGTTCCTGTGGGCTGTGACCCACAGATTGAGAACCGCTGCTTTAGACCCTCGCTCTGCTCACACCTGTAATTCTAACTCTCTGGGAGGCTGAGGCATGTGGATCACCTAAGCTCAGCTGCAAGTGTGCCATCAATTAAGTGCAGTAAAAGATCTGAGTGTGAAACTCGAATCAGGATCAATTCTCTAGATAGATCCAGAAGCAATGATGTCCCCAAATCCCAATATCAGTGACCATTGGTTGTGATTCCAGATTTTGGTTTCTAAACTCCATTCCCCAGCAGAGTTCCTTGGAGAAATAGCTACTTCCAGATCTGGGGAAGGCAAGTTATAAGGTAAGCATGGATGGGACCACTGGTATTCCATGAAGCAAAAATGGTCCCAAAGATGAACAGGGTCATAGGAGAAGAATATAGAAACCAGCTTAAAGGAGTTAAACTGGGACAACTTGAGCCCACAAAGGAATAATCATTGTGGTCAGATGAAACACATTGAATTATACAACCCACATGCACATAACAGTAGTCAAAAAAGAGAAAACAACATTAAAAATAGTAGAACCTCCCTTGCCCCCGCCGCAGGTGATTTCTTAATTAAAGAGAAAGAACTAAGTGTGATTCCATGCACTTCAGAGAAAATAAATCCTCCCTTTTGATGCACAAAAGTTCCTTCTCCTGGAGGAATGCCCACTCTTAAATGTGGAAGGAATGATGCAATTTGGAAATCATCATTTTGCAACCCCAAATGAAATAATCGTTTCAGGCAAGGATCCTCAGAGAATGCTAAAACCATTAGCTGAAAGGTCATCGGGGAACTGGATGTCCACACAGAGCCCTCCAGCGTGGCCTTCCAGAGAGCTGGCCCGCTAACCTAACGCGGCAGCAGCAGAGCAGCAGGACCATCCGACATTATCTTCTCCCGATGTGATGCAATGGGCAGTGCGCACAGCACCAACCGTGACACGATCCTGCCGAGAGGGTCAGCCTTCACCCCAGCTTCTTTAACCAAGTTGGGGGGGAGTCCAGGGAACAAAGAGAAAACTTAATGACACTGTAAGGAAATAGTAAGAGAACCTAGAACAGGGGCACACTGTTCTTCAACAACTTAGTGCCATTAATAAAAAATTGCTCCAGCTTTAAGGGAACTGAATAGATATAACAACCAAATGAAATGCACAGCAGCACCCCATGAAATCCTAATTTGACAAAAACTGTGATAAAATCACCTCTGAGGATGATTAGAGAATCCGAGTATGGCCTGGGTGTATGATGATACTAGGAAACTATTATCAATTTTGCTAAATGATTATGGGTTATGTTATGTTGAAGACTACCTTTAGGGAAAACATGGGAAGTTATTCATGGATGAGGCGTCACAATTCAACGCAGCATAAAGTATAGAGAGTCAGATAAAGCAAGCGAAGCAGAAGTGTTAACGATTGCTTGGGAGAGGGGAGGAGGGAATGGGTGAGATCACCCCTACCAGGTACAGTGTACATTATCTGGGGGACGGGTGCACTTATAACTTTGTCTCAAGCAGTACAAAAGCCATTTGTGCAGCCAAATCATCTGTAACCCTGTAATATTCAGGGCCCGGGGATGGCGGGGTGGGGGGGCTGAATCTAGTTGGTAGGTGTGTTCTTTTACTTTGAGGTTTTTCATATTTTGTAATGCAAAAGTCCCCCAACGCTGGCAGGCCCGCCATGACATTAATATACACCTGAGCCAGCATCATGGTGTGTATACCGCTGCTTGCCAACTCCAGTCATCGGGACGTGGCTTCCTGGGACGCTGTTTGAAGAAATAATGCAAAGCCACGTCCAGACTCAACTAGAAACAGTTCTGTGGTTGACTAGCAAGGGGTGTAGAAAGCGGCATCTTGTAGGTTACCTAGCGGCCTTCCCCGCTCTGCGTCATCGTCCTTCAGTCCCGCCCACCGTGTGAAGAAAGGGGAAAGGAGAGACTCAGAAGAGTCAGGAAATGAATATGTTGTGTTCGGACTGAGCTGGAACATATGCGCCTGAAGTCTACAGCTAGATTTCAGCTATTCCAGGATAAGAATTCTGTGTTACAAAAACTCATGATTTTATAGTTGGAGCCGCTTCCTTCTTCTGTTTTGTCTCGCTTTCTATGTAACATGTTCCTTGAAAAGGTTCCACCTGTCTTGGCTGAGGAATGGGGGCAAAGTTCTTCATCCATGCGAGGGTGGACCTAAGACAGCAGCCAAGGACCTCCTCCACAGATGGGGACAGAAGCTGGGGGCACGTAAGTTGCAAAGAAGCGACTCTGTTACCCCCAACCTCTTTCCCAGGGCCAGGTCTTGCCAGGGGCAGGAGGGATCCCTCCTGAGCAAAGTTGCCAGGAAGCAGTGGTCTCACCAGTCAGCGATTACCCAGACAAGTGGCACCAGCTACTGTGTTGCACTTGCTGTTACAAGCTCCTTCCAGAGTGCTCTTAAGGGGGGGACATGCCCCAGTAGTTCAAGCTACTGAACCAGGGGAAGGTCTAGGGCACAGGACCGAAAGTCAGTGACCCCACCAGGAGGTGGACTGCCCTGAGAGCTCGTCCCCTAAGCCTATCACCACTTGCGGGTGGGAGAGTGGAGGGGGGGTGCTGACCCTCTTGCCCAGGCCTTCTGGACCTGGTGATGCCCCCAGGACCTGGAGTGGAATCTGGGGAGCCTTTCGAGCAGAGAGGTTTCATGGAACAAGCAGAGTTTATTTGGTGAAGGCAATGGCTTCCAGATGTTAGTGGGGCCAGGGGGGCAGGGGGCCAGCCATACGATGGGGCTCATCTCTTTGTCACTGATAGAGAAAGAACGAACAATTTGGCACTGCTATGCCGGCCAGATGGTTCCTGCTCAGCCCTTCATGGCAGATAAATCATCCCCCGAGGTCCCTCCCAGGACACTTGACAGCTAGGGTGGCTGAGGAAGCAGAGAGGGAAGGCCAGGAGGCCAAATGGGGCTCAGAGCCAGAGATCAGAACACGGAGGGCCCGTGTCAGGAGGCTCGGTGTGGAGTGATGGCAACAGGTCCCCCGAATCCCGGGGTTCTGCCCCTAGGCAGCTGGGTGCCCCTGGGTACTCGCCCCAGGTTGTACCTTTCCAGGAACTTTTCCAGAGAGAGTTCCTACTCTCCACGGTGCTTTAATGGAGCTGGAGGGCATATTCTGGGTTCCCCACCAAGCGAGAGGGGTGGAGTTCTGCCATCACTAATTCTTACCAAGGGCGTCCCATGCTCTGTTTGCTCTTACCCTTGCTACTGACTCACAGGTAGGGACTCTTGTTAACCCAACTGTACACAAGACCAATATGTGGCCCAGTGAGGTTGAGCACTGTGGTCAAGGTCACACAGCAGGTAGGCAGCAGAGCTGCAAGGCACTCTGAGGCTGGGCATTGTGCCCTGGTGTCTAAGTCATAACCACACCATAGAACCGCCTCCCCGGGGAAGGGTCCAGAATGAGGTCATCCCTGGGGCTGTCCTGATCCCTTAATCAGAACCACCTGGACAGAGCCTCCTCTCCTTCACTGTCAGAAGGAGGGTCACCTGTCCCGTGGCTGATGTGCAGGGTCTGGACAATCTGCCATTTGTACCTGCTGGTGCTGGACAGGGGAAGGGTCCCAGCCCCCAGGACACGCTGTACTAGGGTGTGTGTTGTGTGTGCTGTGGGGGTGGGGGTGCAGGGGAGAGAAAGTGAGCCCAGCACCCTCCTCCCCAGTCCCAGGGGAGCTGCAGGATAATGGGGTCTGCCCAGTTCTGCTGCCCCGTCCCTCCACCCCCACCATCAGGGCTGGAGATGGTGCACTGAGCTGGGGGAGCCTGGGGGCCACTGTGCTGGCATAGGAGGTTCTTGGACCTATCTAAGTCTTGATCAAAAATGCACACTTCTAGGTCAGGCTCAAGGGGCCACGCTGTCTGCCTCTGACATCCCCTGTCTAAGGATGGTAACAGCCTCAAATTTCCCCATGGGGGGAGTCCTCACCTTTCTTTAGTTACCCTGGAACTCCAAAGGGAGGTCCTAGTACCAGTGAGGCCAGCTCTGCAACTGGAAAAATCAAAGTGCTCCAAAACAGGGGGACCTAAGTTTTGACTGACTGCCACCTCCACGCCAAGCACCCAGGGCGCACCTGGCACGTAGCAGGTGCTACATGCATGAGGGGGAGAGAGCGTGCAGAAGGCCTCCACACCACACTGGCACCCTCTGATGCTGTAAAAGGACTGACCACACAGGCCCAGTTTGGGGACGTCTACAACTACTGAGAGGTTCTCCCAGCTGGAGCTTCCCCGCTCGGCAAAGGCACCATTCCTCTCTCCTGGCTCTGGCCACCCCAGCTGCCCTCCCAGCCGTGCTGAGAGTCTGGGAATGTATGGAACATATGGAGGGGTAAGTCCAAGGCATTAAGCTAAGGAACCACAGAGCTCCGTGTCCGGGAAGGAGAGAGATCCGTCCTCACCCAGAGGCAGCCAATTCTGGCCATCAGCTGGCAATCTAGCTGGGTCAGGCAGCCCCCCAGCTAGATCAGGCACACGCTGCCTGACCCAGCCCCCATGGCAGAAAGCTGGACACTGCGGCCAGGAGCAGGGGATTTACCCAGGGTCCCTGCCCCACACCTGGGCAAGCAGCCCCCACCAGCCTGCACAGCTGCCCTGGGTCTGATTTGTCCCAGCAGGGAAACCTCGTTCCCATGTAAATGCCCAGACAGTTCCCCAAAGCAAGAACCAGGCCACCCCTCTACTCTGCAATGCCGCCCACCCTTGCTTGGATGGCTCAGTGCCAGGGGAGGCTGACATGCCAGAAAATGAAGCCTAATGTGTCGCAGAGAACCATAAACGCCATCTGTCAACAGGGAGCTAAGGCACGCTAATCTAAACACGGCCCTGGAGACAGTTCTTAAATATACAACACACGAAATCCCTTCCCAGAGGCGACAGCAGGACTGGCTCAAGGCCACACCAGCCTCAGAGAGCTGCTTCTTGCACTTTCTCTTCCCGGGGCCGCAGGCACGAGGGACCCCTTGTCCCTTCATTTGCCAGCTATTTACCCAGCACCTGCTACATGCTAGGAAAGGCATAGCCTAGTTAAATAATTGCACAATTACAAACACAAAATTTCAATTGTGTACAGTGGCACAGGGAGCTGAGAGAGGGTGTGGAAGGAGACTTATCTTGACAGGAAATCAAGGGAGTTTTCCATGAGGAGGTGCATGTCTGCTAAAACTGGGAGGATGGAAGGGGCCGAAGGAGCATGCTGCATGAGCAAAGGCTTTCTCTGGGGATGGCGTGGGAGCCTGAGAAACAGCAGAGGCCACAGGGCAGTGAGCAGAGGTGCAGTGAACAGCAAGATAAGAAACGCAGGGGCTCAGACTATGATCTGGACATCCCCTGGAGGTTGACAGGGAAGGATCTGCTGGTCAGACTCACAGTGAGAGGATCTGGTGGCAGGTTGGGGCCTGCTCACTCTGGCTCAACAAAGTCGACTGCCAGCGTCACTTTTTGGCTTTGCAAGGGCACCTGAGCTCTGCCAAGCTTGGAGCATTTACAGCACAGGAATGTGCACCCTTGTCCTTTCCAGAGAGATGGCTGTGAGTCATTTACCAGCTCACCATGGGAAGGATCGCCCTGACTACTGGGAAAGGATGTAGGGGTGGTGGCGGGGAAGTACGGGACCCCTCCCCCAAGGGAGACTGAATGGGAGGGAGGACAGACTCTGGGTCCACAGCAGGACCAGGAGGGAGACACCTGGTTAGTGCTGGGTTCTGAGAGAGCCTGACTGGGTACTTTGGGCCACAAGCCAGCAAACCCCTCTCTGCCGAGCCCCTGGAAACACAGCAGGCCTTGACAGACCCTGGCTCTTCCACTCACCCGGACATTCCTGACTCTGGGGAAAAGCTCAGAAGAAACCCCACTTATATACTCCTGCTGGATGTTGCTGGGTCCATCTATCCTGCCACCCTGCATCACCCAGGGGGCTGCTTCAAGCCTCAGCCTTTCTACCTGAAAAATTTTGTCTGGAAAGCCCAAGCGCCTGCCTCTGCGGTGGGTGGGAGGCTCAGTGAGGGGGTGTCATAATCCCTGCACCTGCCACCGGGGTTGCTCACTGCCTCCGGCTGCCATTGCTGTTCAAGCCTCGAGAGGCAGGGATGGTCACTGCCCTGGCCTCACTTGGAAAAGCAGTTCAGGGAAGTCACCCCCTCCTGGGCTTACCTGCGTCACTTGCTGTTTGTCCAGGTGGAACACCTGCCCAGAGCTGGTGGCAGCAATCTCCTCATAGGCCTGGTAGCCAGGATGGGTGCGGTCACCACAGTCCCCTGTCAGCACAAAGACCACCTGCAGAGGGAACACAAAGCCTGGCTCTCCACTTCCCTGGCCACCCATTCAGGTGTAAGTGGCAGGGCCCCAGCAGGATGACGTGATCTGAGGTGAACCCTTCCCTGTCTCAGCTCAGGTGACACATGTCTAGAATGGGAATACTAACGGTGCCCATCTCACGGGATCAGGGGTCCTGGGCCGGGAATACAATAGGTGCTCAAAAAAAGGGGCTGTCGTTAAATCAGTGACAAAGAAGGGCATGGAAGTCCACTCATCTCCGAGCAGCCGCTGGAGGCTGCAGAGTGGGAAGAACCTTGAGGAACCGAAGTGTGTTCTGGGAGGGATAGCAGAGAAGCCATCCCAGCCCTTGAGATCTTCCCCAAGATGCCAAAAATCCAGGCTCTCTCCCTTCCTCACTCACATTCCTTCCCAGCCCTCACTGCAAAAGGAAAAAGCAAGAGCTCCAGCACATCTTCCAAGCCCCCAGATGACAGGAAAGTGGACGCAAGCATCAGAGACCAGGAGCAGAGGCAACCCCAGGAGAAAGATGGATGGTCTGGACTCTGACGAGTATGAAGGGAACAGGGTGGTGTGGTCTTCCTCAGGACGCAGGAGCCAGCTTGGGCCCAGAGTGTGAGAACACGCTTGGGATTCTCCAGGCCAGCCTGGTTCTGGGTGGCCGCAGGGCTGGTGGAGGCTGGGCCCATGCAGGGGAGGAACCCAGCTCCTCCCTCCCAATGGAGGTTTAGGGCTGCTGAGGGGAGACTCCAACTTCCCCGGGACCCCCACTAGTGCCCACTGATGCCCCCTGGGCCAGTCACTCACCTGGGACTGTTTGAGCTGCAGGAGCTGCAGCACCTCCTCCCTCCTGTGAAAGTCCTTGGCACGGGCGTCCGTGAAGACATAGATGAAGGAGCCAGGGTTGGCGACCTCCACGGCAGCCTTGATGGCGCCTACGCTCATCTCTGGGCAGTCACCACCTCCCTGGAGGGCAGGGGTATGTCAGCGACTGTCACCCTCCTCCTGAAGATGGGACCCACCCAGGGCTACCTCTGAACCCAGAGGGAGTTGGAAGTCACCTAAAACTACCCCTGCCCTGGCCACCCAAGGACAGGCCCCAACCACAGCCACTCCCTTCCTAGAGATGTAGCATTCCACCTGCTTGAATTTTGGGCAAGCATCATTCATTCATTCATTCATTCACCCAAGCAAGAGCAATATGGGCCCCCCCCCATGGAATCTGGTAGCGTAGGCAGATGCTGAGTAAGCCCGATGCAAGCATTTAATTACCACTGTGGTAAGTGCTACAGATGGGGAAGGTAGGAGGGAGCCATCGGAACTTCCCAAGAAAGCCACATGGTGACTTAAAGGAGAGCAGGTGGCCAAGAGGGAGGCACTGGTAGCCTCCTCCACTGGAAGGAGGTCACCTGGCAACCCCAAACCAATGCACACTCCTCCCTCTCTGCGGTCCAGACAAGAGCGGTCGTCAGGAAGGGAGCATGTGCCTGTCTCACCTGGGTCTGTACATGTGCAGCAGCAGGACGGGCACAGGGTGACTTTTCCATAAATGCTCCTTTCCCTGACTCTCACCCCACAAGGACTTACTGAGTCCCTATGTGCTCTGCGCCTGTTCCGGGCCCCAGAAGATCTGTCAGTGAACCAGACTGATATGGGTGCCCTCTGCCTTTCAGGAAGCTGGTGGTCTCGGTGGGCAGGTGGAAGAACAGAGACTGGGCCAGGTGCTCTCTGTGGCAATGGAGCCCAGGTGGCCATGTGGCATCTGACCCAGCCTTGGGACAGGTTTGGGCCTCTGACCTGACCTGCCTCACATTCTCCCCAGAACCCCACACCCCTGCCACTGAGCACCAGCACCAACTTCCTTCTTCCACCCATTCATTCATTCTTGGAATGATGAGGACCTATTATATGCCAGGCCCAGGCCAGGCCCAAGAACTCCTGAAGGGAATTAGTTCACTGAATGAGGGAAGGAAGCCCAGTAAGTACTGTCTCCAGGGCCTCAAGTGGACATGGGCCACAGGCAGAGCTGAGAGGCAGGTCATAAGGGGAGTGGGAAGCTGCCATCTTGGCGCCTGGTGGGGCGGACTGTGGTCTCTGGTGTGAATTGGGAGGAGCAATGTGGGCGCGTGGCTGGGGGCGGGTAGGGTGGCCTACCTGCACATAGAGCTCTCTCAGCGCCCTCTGGAACAGCGCTGGGTCTGCTGTGAGGGTCACCGGTCCAATATCTGTGGAGAAGAGAGAAAGAAGCCCAGATGGGCTAGGACCCCCAGACACACAGCCTGGAGGGGCTGGTGGGTGGTTACCCAGCGGGGTGTGATCAGAGGACCTGAGGTCACACACAAAATGGGGAGCAGGCTCCGGACTGGCCCAGAGCTCCAGAGCCTTCCCTCCGAGCACAACCTTCTGACCAAAAACCCTAGGAAGCCCCTGACCCCACTCTACCACCTGCCCAGTACTCTTTTCTGGGAAGACAAAGAAATAGAGAAGCAAACGAATAACCCGTTGTGGAACACAGCACCTATCCAGCACCAGACTGATCAATAAGAGTAAAAGCTTCCAGAAACTCCACCTATATCTGTGCTCATTTAAAAAGAGCAGCCATAAGCAGTGCAGAGATAAACGACTATCCTGGGTGTCGACAAGGGTGGGGCCGCTGGAGCCTTCACTCACTGCTGGTGGGAACACAAAACAGTTTAGTCACTTTCGAAGCCAATGCCAGTTCCCCAAAAGTCAGACATCACCTACCATACGACCCAGCTGTTCTGCTCCTGGGCATTTACCCGAGAGAAAGGCAAACGCACGTGCACACCGAGACTTGCACTCAACTGCTCATGGCAAATGTATCACCACAGGCCAAAACTAGAAACAGGCCAGATGTCCATCCGTTGGCAAACGAGTAGACAAGCCGTGGTGTGTTCACATAACCAAGTTCTACTCAGCCCTAAGACAGAACAAATGGATGGAGGCAGCCACGCAGGTGACTCTCACAACACATGCTGCTCAGAGCAGCCAGACGTGGAGGAGCACACGCCGTATGGTTCTGTTTATAGGAAGATCTGGAACAGTCAAAATTAATCTAAGGTGAGCAAAACCAGACCTGAGGCTGCCTGGGCAGCGTGACTTGGAGAGGAAGAGACAGAAATGCTCTGTACTGTGATGGCGTGTGGGTCCCACAGGGGATCACTGGACAGACGTACACAGCGAAGACAGTGCATTTCAGAGCATGCAAATTTACCCCATAAAAGAGGAGAACAGTAAGAAATGATCATGGCTGGGGGTGGAGGAGGTATACACAAAACCAGGATGACGAGATTGTTTTACATTTAGTGATGCCGGGTGAGAACATGGAGATCTGTCTCACTTTTCTACTTTGTATATATTTGAAAAGTTCCCTAATAAAAAATTTTATTTTTTCAAATAGCTGTAATGGACAACCACCTCTAACGTAAGACGCCACCAGTGCCTGAAAGCAGGGCTAGACTTCAAGGCACCTGCAGCTGTGTGCACAGTGGGGACTTTGTAAGGTTGTGTGGACATCAGATTTCTTAGGAAAATATTTCACTTGAATCTTCGGTAAACCCTAATAATGGGCTATTTTTAGTTCAGGAATTCTACATTCCAGCTACCTTAAAAAGCTCCCATACTCGGCCACCAGTCAGCAGACCTCAGCTCTTCTTAGAAAGGGAGGCCTATGGAATTAGGAGAAATTCCTCATAATTATCAAGGAAGAGTCGGCCCCAGTGTCCCCTGAACCCCCCGGCCCTTTCTCTGCATTACTCCCTCCTTTTCTCTGAACTCTCTAGCAACCAATTCAGCCCCACCCCAGCAGCTAAGCCCTGAGCCCAGGCCTCAGCCAGATCCGATTGGAATACTGGCTTCACCCAGTGTGGGGCCTCTCAGAGCTCACTTTCCTGCCCCAAACCTCAGTTTCCTCGTCTGTTAAATGAGGCCTGGAACACCACTATCTCTCCTGAGCCAGGGTGGTCACTGTGAGAGCTCAGTGAGGCCAGGTATGTAAACAAACACCTGCCACACGCCGCAGGCCAGCATGCCCTGGCACGGGCCAGCAATGGGGCTGACATGAACTTGCAATTGGCCTGGCTCCAGTAGGGATCTCGCACACACTGGTGCAAAGACAGTCTTGCTTCCACATGAGGTCCTCAAATTCTAATTTGACTAAGAAGAGCAATAATGTTACTCAGTGCTGGTTATTTCACTTCTAATAGCTACAAAATATTTCCTTTGTACCAATGTCAAATGTCTAGTAATGACCTTACCCAATCCCATATTGTTTTGTTTCCAATTTTCATAATGAACAACGTTATTAAGACATCTGTGTACTGACACTGTTTCCTAAGGACACATTCCCATAGTAGGATGGCTGAGTCCTTGGCAAAGGCAAGTGTAAAGCCTCTGGCCGCAAACTCAATACCTGCAACTGTCCCCCCATTTATGGATGGTTTGCCTGCCACCTGCCGATACTGGAGCGACCTGCCCTCACACTGGGTTTGGCACACACCCGCCGCCCCCAGGAACCCACGGCTGCCACCCACCACCTACAAACCCAACGAAGGCCCCTACAGTGCCCAGTTCTGAATCTGGTCAGCTCTGGCCTCCCATCACAACCCATCATCACTGTCCACGTCCCTCTGTGGCTCCCAGTGCTGGGCCAGCGCTGGAGTGATCACAGCCCCTCTGCTCACAGCAGCATGCGAACAAGCTGGTGAAGTAAGTCTTCTTAAATCAAATACGGTCCATCGGGACCACTGCCCTTAGTCTGTGCTCCACAAGCTTCCTCCTAGGCGGGGTGAAGGCTGCTCTTTCCTCACAGAAGGACAATAATAAAAGAGAGTTGATTTTTTTCATGGTTCTACTTGGCAAGGTCACATGTTGGCCACCTATGTGCGCTCCCTCTGTTTTGTTGGTTTGTTTTCTTTTTTTCAGTAATTTTACTAGATTGAGAAATCTGCGGTCTGGACAGCTCTGTGGTTGAGGGTGGGGAGGTTGCCAGTCCCACTATCTAAGGCCGGGCATCCCAGCACCCACGTCGTCCTAGGGAACCCTGTGCTCTCGGAGAGAGAGGTGTGTGGGGAGACCACACTCTCAGCAAGGCGGGGCTTCCCGGACAGCAACCTCTTCCTGCCCCAAGGACTCCGCCAGCACACCCTGTGCCAGGGACACACACTTGCTAATGCAAGGACTTGGAAATATCAGAAGCCAGCAAGGATCCCCTGGGCCAGACAGCCCTTTGATTCTGAGGTTGGGCTCTGTGTCCATTTCTTATTGCTGCTGTTACAAGTGACTACAAATTTAGTGCCTTAAAACAACACTCATTTATTTCTGGAGATCGGAAGTCCTAAAATCAAGGTGGCAGCAGAGCTGGGTTCCCTGTGGAAGTTCTAGGAGCTCACCTTCTCCTGTTTCTATGGGCCGCCCACAATCTTTGGACCACAGCCCCCTCCTCTATCTTCAAACCAGCAGCCTAGTATCTGTATATCTCCCCCAGCCCCACGCCTTGCATCTATCGTCACGGCTCCCTTTCTTACTCTGCCCCGGCTGCCTCTCTCTTGCAAGGACCCTTGTTATTACATTGGGCCCACCTAGATAAGTCCCTGCAGAGTCCCTTTGCCACGCAGCATATTTACAGATCCTGTGCATTGGGACAGGGTCATCTTTGGAAGCTGTTATTCTGCTTGCCACACCTCCACCATCCTGTCTCCAGCAAGCATTGACTTGGGGGGAAAAAGTCAGTTTGACTACGAACTTATGGGCCGAAAGTAACAGTGTTGAGGAAGAAGAGAGCTTATTAAAGATGGAGAATTCGGGGCCCAGAGAGAAGACAGCCCCCCACTCCGGCGGGCTGGCACAGGGGTGGACCGGCTGCCTCGTGCAGGCAGCGATTCAGGCTCTGGCGTTTGCCGTGGCGGCCTAGCTCTGAGCCCAGTGTCTGGCACAGAGGAAGCGCTTAAATAAACATTGAATAAATATTGTTGAAATGAGTGAGTGGACAAACATATGAATGAATTCCATACTGTCTGGGCAGTTCCAGGTCAGGACGTGAGGTTCATTTATCTTTATATCTGGCGTGCGACCCAATGGCAGGCGTGCAGTTAACACTCAGCAAATCCTGCTGAGGGCTGAGCCCCAGGACACTGCTCCCCCTGCCCGGGGAAACAGATCCAAAGCAAGGCAGAAAACCAAATGCGACTGGGGTGTGCCCAGATGCTGGCCATGCCCAAGGAGTGGTGGCCAGATCAACGAAGGCGTCTGTGAGGACTCTGGGGATAGGAGACTCCAGTAAAGAATGAAGACAAGAGCTTTTTAAACAACTGCCCTGAGTTCCGAACAAAGAAGGCTCTCAGGAGAGTACAGACTCCGAGCACCTGCACCCATGCCCACAGAGTCTGTTAATTCTTTGTTTTCTCTGAACAGATAGCCCCCTAACCTGCCCTGGGAGTGGCCACTGGCCTGTCCCCTCATTCCCAGGGCAGAGTCATCCTCCACAATGCCATGAAGGGGCTGGAGGAACGCCAGAACTTCCTCTCTACCCATCCTCCTTGCTGCCCACCTGCCATTAGAGGGCCAGCCCCTCCAGGCAGCGCGAGAGAAGACACCTCCCAGGGTTAATTAAAGCTGCCCCATGGCTCCCCGTGCCGTTCCTGGGACCTGCTGCTCCATCACACTCACCAGCCCAAAGCCCCACCCAGGACAGGGAGCTCTCCATGGGGTGTGCATTTCAAGACCCACCATCCCACTGGATGGAGAGTGTAGTGCTAGGACAGGACCAGGTTGGAGAGGACAGGACACCTGGGTTCCCCTCATGGGAGTTTACCCACGAGAGAGGTCACTCAAGCCCCTCTCTCTGTCCCTTTCACCCTGCGCAGGCTGAGCTGTCCCTGGACAAAAGCCCCATCACCTTACAACTCAACCTGCTGCGCTTCCCAGCACGGAGGCCATGCTGCTGCTGTTGCTCACAAGGCTGGCAGGGTTGAGCCCAGCCCGGGCCTGCTAAACAACAAGGACGATGACTGTAACCAAAAAACAGCCGGGCGTTGTGGCGAGCACCTGTAGTGCGACTTGGGAGGCTGAGGCAAGAGAATCACTTAAGCTCATGACTTTGAGGTTGCTGTGAGCGTGATGCCACAGCACTCTACCCAGGGTGACAGCTTGAGGTTCTGTCTCAGAAAAAAAAAAAAGAAAAGAAAAGAAAAGAAAAGAAAAAGAA